CACACACACACACACACACACACACACACACACACACACACACAGGCACGCACGCACACATGCACCACATCATCCTATGCTATAAGCTGCTCCTTTGGTATGAATCTATACTTACGGAAATGTAGAAACAAACATTTTTAAATAGCTGCTGTACTTTTCACATTTTGATTTATTAGGTACTAGCACTGAGAAGAAAATTTCAGCACTTGGACTATCATAGGAGGAGTAAAACTTTTCTTGTACAAAGTGAATTAACTGATTTGTGAAGTTAAAAGGTTGTACTCATTGTATTTACAAAGAATAAAAAATATATTGAATTTAAACAAACTCTGCCTGATTTCTTTACCACCCTCCCTGGTGGGTTCTCACTTTTCAGATATGAGGTGGCAGCAGCTACAGCTGGTGTTAAAACCAAGGCTCATAGCACTGCAGCACAGAGCCGAAGGAACAGAACCACAAAGGCAATTTCCTTTTTACAGTGAATCCCATTTGTAAAATGATGAATAAAGAAATAAAACATAAGATTCCGTTCTCTACAGCTCTCAAACGTAATTGCATCTGTTAGAAAAATTGCTGTGTGAGGAAGAAAGAGGCCGATTAACGGTCTTCATTCCCTCCTCTGTTTCTAACTCTCTTGCCAACATTTCAGTCCTGACCAGGAACTTGATATCATTGAATGATCAAAAAGATAAAGCTTGAAGATCTCCACTGTTAAGTAAGATGTGGAAGGAGCCAGAGACAGTCATCCAGATGTTCCCAGCAAATCTCAGGACACTGGTCCCACTGCCAGAGGCCAGTGGTGGAAATCCAGGTGCCCAAGGTCATGGCACTCTGGGCTCCTGAATGGCAGCCCCAGCAAGGGTTGCTTATCCCTCTGCCTTTGGACAGAATGACCTTGCAGACCTGTATGTGTGAAAGCTCCATCAGCCATACACTTTTCTACTGATTTCACAGAGAAAAGCAAGGTTGGGCTGAGGAGGTAGCTCAGTGGTAGAGCACTTGCCTAGGGTGCATGAGGCCCTGGGTTTGATCCCAAGTCTCTCTCACACACACTCGCCAAAAACAGAAAATCAGAGAGGTACTCAAATATGTAAATATAAGAATGTCCCTTGCAACTCTGTTTATATTTAACAACTAAATGTCAATCAACAGACAATAGATACAGTAGATAGACAGTGTAGCTTAAGCGCATGACTAGAGCCCACACTTCACCAGGAGTCTTTTTTTTTTTTTTTGTACCAGGGGTTGAACTCAGGGGCACTTTACCACTGACCCACATCTTCAGCACACACACACATCCCATTTTTTAAATATTTTATTCAGAGACAGGGTCTTGCTAAGTTGCTAAGGCTGGCTTTGAACTCGTGAGCCTCCCAAACCACTGGGATTATAGGTTTACACCACTGCACCCAGCTTCCTCATGGGTCATGAGGGGAGGGGAGAAGTGAACTGCAAAGGATGCATACAGCTTGGCATCATTTATGTTAGGTTTTACAATCCACAGAATATAATATTAGATAATGTTTATGGATATATGAATGTAGAGCTAACATTTAAAATGAGCATTAATATTTAAGATAAATGATAACTCATGATAGTGGTTACCACTGGGTATTGGTGGGATTTATGAGGGATACCAAGAGGATTATAAAATGTTTCTGTAATGGTTTATTTTATAAAGGAAAAAGCCTGACACACCTATGAGATCAAAGATAAGATTTGGTAAATTGGGTGATGGGTCTGAGGATGTCCATTTATATATTAGTCCAGTTTAGTTTTAATATTTCTGGCTAACAAACAACACCAAAAGTTTGTAACCACAAACTTAATTCCTTGCTCACAGGATTGCCTGTCGCCCTTGCTCTGCAGGGCTTGGCTCCAGGGCTTCCTCATTCAAGATTGGCAGCTTCTCTAGAGCATTTTCTTCTCATGACAGCAGCTGAAATGCAAAAGGCAAGACCAACCATGCAAATGCATTTAAAGATGCTACTTGCCTAGATTTGCTCACTTTTCACTGGCCAAATCCAGACATAAGGCCAAATTCAACCTCAAGAGGGCAGGGGAGCGTTCTCTTCCCATGGAGGTGGGACAAGGGGAGGAGATTCACTGAACCATAATAAAATCTAGTACAGTCATAATCTACTTCAAGTAGTTTCGGTAAAATTAAAAGGGAATAGGATTCCTATGACAAGCCATAGGATACTGATTCCCTCTGGAATGTCTTTGTCTGGAGGCATCTCTGCCATTACAAACAAGAACTGAATCTGACTCTCAACTTTTGAAAAGGCCCAGAAATCAGGAGCTATTTCTTCTAGATTTGGGAGATTTCTACAGGACATAGCCTCAAGATGACTTCCTTGGGTCCTTTAAGACCCCACTTACTCTCATAGTTTTAAGATGGACATCCTCTAGTGGTGGGCATAGTGTGAGAGGTTCTGCAGTGGTCTCTGAATATACAGGTTCAAAATAGACAATTTAAATGTTTGTACGAGAGAATGAGCCTGTACTGTAGTCAAAAACTGCAGAACTTCCCCTTTGGCAGATGGGTTTTCTGAATCTGGGAGGGTCCTTTTTCAAGGGTTATTTCTATATCATGACCATTGGGTAGAAGCCTTACTTACATTTGCATTTGAATGACTTTTACTTGTCCTTTGATGCCAGGGAAGAGAGAGAACAGGAGATATGTTCAGCAACTGAATGGAGACTTTCAAATTATTTTACTTACAGTTTGAAGTTTTTAATCAAATCGAGAAGTCCAAGAACTGATCCCATTGGCCAGAGACCTGTATATGGCTGCCTTAATCATTTTTATAAAAATGGAAACACCTTACTTTTCTATAAACTTTGTGTGTGTTTGTGCACATGCATGCACATATGTGTGCACGTGTGTGACTCTCTTCCAGTGGGTACACAAGGCTCTATCTCATTCAATTTATCTGCCTAACATTCCATTTTACAATACACTCTAGTTTATCCAAGTAAGTCTTTGTTGATGGACTTGAGTTACTTGCAGTTTTTCATTATAACAAATGAAACTGCAAAGAACCAGGCTTCTATGTACACTTTTGAAGACTTGTGGGAGAATTGCTGTAGGATAAATTCTTAGAAGTGGTGTTTCTGGGTCAAAGATTATATGCATTTTTAATTTTGATAGCTACAGCCAAATGGCTCTCCAAAAGGGTTGTATCAATTTGCACTCCTGCCAAGAGGGTATGAGAGGGCCCATTTCATTGCTCAGAATTTAAAAGTGCTTAATCAGACACAGGCTTGATGAACACTTCAGAAGCTATTAGAAAAATACAGAGAATGCATATGTTTCTATTATGAAAATGCCTCTTTTACAATGCTTATTGGACTGGCTAAGTAGGTCTCACCCTGTACCCATGGTCAGAGCTTGGTTTCCCCATATTTCCAGCCCAGGCCTCTTCTTCATTAAATTTTGGGAGTATCCATGTCACAATGAAGTCAATACAAAGTAGGTGAGTGAAAATGTAGAAATAGCTTGTCTGATGCTTTCTGTAACTAAGATGCTGATCTAAGAAGCCCAGTTACATGGGGATTAAGTGTAGCTCAGCGGTAAAGCATGTGTTTAGCATATATGAGGCCTTGGATTTAATTCCTAGCTTAGGTGGAAACTAAAGAACATTAACTCTCTATAACTAAATAACTCTAAATAACTTTTACACAAATGCCAAAATGGCTTATTTTCCATGTAGTCTGTATTTTTAATGTTGTGAGATTTTTGGAACTCATTTGGAACATGAAGTAGCCTTTTTCTCTGAATACTGCTGACCTTCACAGACACTGTTCAAGCAAGTCATCAACACTTTCAGCTGCACACTGTCAGCTGGGCTTGTCAGCAGTGTGGCAGAGAGCAGACTCTCGGATGAAGAAACCAGGATGTTGCCACATATCCTGGGCATCTTTGTGATGTGACAAAGTGCTGTAGTGCTCTTCTGCGAAGCCATGAGTGGAGTCAATGTATTGAGGATGTCAAGGTCATGGGTTTAATTTTTAGAATGAAGATTAAATGTATCTCTAATACGGGCTAATCACACTGTCCCAGGACACTAAGATTTGGCTTACTCTTTCATGAAGTCTAGAAAACAAGCTGTAGCTCCTGTCCCACCAATGATCAGTCCAGGGCATCCTCTCCCCAGCCATAAGCCCAGGAGAAGGAGCACCAGCCCAGGTGAAGAGGCCGGGGTTCTAGTTAAGACCAGTGTGATCTTGGGCAAATCAGCTGTCTGCTCCTCTGGGGTTTCATCTGTGAAAGGGAGTACTAGGCTCAATGTCTAATTCCCCTCCTTCTGATCTAACACCTCATTGTGGAGCCAGGAGACTATCAGAAAATTCTCCTTGGTGGCAAGAACTAATCAGACTAAGGACGTTTCCAGATGTACTCAACCTTGGCTACTTAATCTACTAATTGTTTTTTCATTTAGACACATCCTTCTCAATCCTGGTTACACATGGTATCACCTGGGGAGATTTCAAAACTCTGTGTCCTGGTTACATTGCAGACCAATCACACCAGCATCTCTACATGGCACCCAGGCATCAAGTTTTTTTGTTTTGTTTTGTTTTGGGGGTGGTGGTAGAAGGGAGGTAGTGAATCCAGGATCTCTTGCATGATGAGCCCACACTCTACCTTCAGTATTTTTAAAGCCCCCTAAGTGACTCCAGGGGTCAGAACCCAGAAAAGAAGGTATATCTTCAGACTCCAGGATTGTGGGTGACCCTCGTCCCTCAGTCTGGCTTCTCTCCCCCTACTCTCTGGTGACCTTTTAAAAAGTTAATTCTTCCCCCTCTTTTCCTGCTCTGGCCTGTCATTGAACTCACCCAGCTGATTGTGGCGCTTGTGATTGAGAACCTCTTCTGACCGCTTCCCT